GGCTATTTACCTTACCATAGGCCGTACCGTATCAAGATGCTTCAGAGGTCTATACAGTACGGTTCCGTAACCGTATAAACCGTTGGAGTAGGGGATCGTGGCGTTCCGGGCCGGAGTTCGCCGTCAGCATATAGCCTTTCACGCATGTACGTAGCTACTCAGTTGCATTCACTCATGTTCTCTACGATTACTTCTCACTGAGGTTGGGGTCTCCCACCTCATTATGGCTGCCCCAGAGTGCCGAGATCTCGGATATGATACAGCAGATATGTTGTAGATCAAGTGGAAACTGTAGATAACAACATGTGAACTATCTAGTACTCCTGCCAAACATGGCCAAACACCGGCCCTGAGCGTCTCCTCTTGCCGGAATCCCCTACTACACCGTCCGTATAAACCGTAAATACAGTTCCGGTGCAGAGCCCTAAGGCCATTCAAGGCCATATAATACAATGGGGTTGATATCTTCCTTGGATCCAATGTTGGATTATATGCTTTGCAAGGCCTTTCATCTACATTATGAATTCTAATCCAATTCAAATATGGCAATAGACTGCTGTCTCTCAAAATATTACAGATAGCTCTTTGGCAGGGTTGTCTTCTCCCCTGTCATGCCCTAGGCATATACAGACTGCCGACGTTTCCTGCTTACCATTACATAACCCGCTTCCGCCGCATTTCCGGTTCCGATACACTTCCGCTTTGCTTCTGTCTTACTATTTCCTTCACCGTACACTTTCTATGATCCCGCCAATCCATTCTCCATCATTCTTACAATCATACATATGCTTTATGCTCATCCCGCCGCTTCCGCTTATGTCCATCATTGTCTTTCATCCCTTGTACTTCTTTTGGCTATTCTTGTCTTTTCTACTCTTGGATTATTACCTATCGCTACTCCGGTCCTCGAGTACCCTTTAAATAGTTCCGTACCATGTCAAGTACAGTAGATTGGAAATATTGCTTAACCCCTTGACTCGTGTGCCCTTGTGTGTTCCGGTTTCTCGCTTTATCTGTTCCTTTAACTCTGTTTCTTCACTCCATTGTTTTCACAACCTCTGCAATTTACTATCATCTATTTGGTTCCGCTCTGTTTGCGCCGCATCAGGTCAGCTACCGCTTGACCTTCCGCTTCCGCTCATATCGCTATCAAAGCCGCTTGCACTTAGTGGGTCCTACCCTTCGAGTTGGAAACTCATCTACTCTTAGGCTTACTCGCCAAGTTCATTCTATCGCCTGTACGGACCTGCCGTCCCTACATTAGTCCCTTGGACGATCCCGACACGAGTCTTACATCCCATAGGCACTTTGGAACCGTTCTACACTCACATCCTTTCACATCTCAAACCAACTTTCCCAGTTCGGCTGAACAACAGAAGTACGGAGCGTATCCACACTTTGGTTTCCAGGTTCGTAACCCGCGCTCGAAGGATTCCGCCTAGATCCTTACATCCCCTTTCATTGTTAAGCATCCTCATATGTGATGGCCAATATGATGCAGCATATAATCCTAAAGGATATAACTCCTCAAAGATAAATTGGTTCTTATGTAACATCCCATCTTTATTAAACTGGAGCAGATAAATAAGGCATGTTTGACATATTGTGGAATGGGCCAGGCGCTCATTGATTTCAAACAATTTCCCCACATGCCCTTCAGCATGAGTTTGGGTGAGAAATTCCTTCACTGAACTGTGTGCAAGTTGCACAACTTTTTCCACATCCACTGTTATCAGTGTTGAATCCAGGATATCATAAATACCATTTTCAAGCTCCAATGACCGTGCCCCGGGATCAAATATTTGAGCTTTCAAATTTACAGCCAAAATCTCTGTAACCTTCGAGATTGATAGTGATTCATATGTGTAAGTCAACCATCTAAGAAGTTTTTCTGCATCATGCACATGTTCACCTTCTCTCATTCTTTCAATGGCCTGAGTGTATGTTTCCACCAGAGTCTTGGGCAACTTTGTTAGGGCAGCCTGAATGGTGTTGGGTGTTTTACATCTTTGCAAGACAGTTACTTGGCAATCAACCCAACGGAACCTTTGAGTTTGAAATCAGCCGCAATCAAATCTTGAGTTAGAATTACTTACTGTCCCTGAGCACCTTCAGCCAAATGATTAACTATATCTGTGAACAGCTCTGGTTCCAGTTTGCAATGTCCTAGCTTCATCAGGAAAAGGTGTTTTTGCCTAGGTGACCCCAGAGTGGCCTAAAGCAAACTAGGTGACCTATGAATCCTATGGCATCCTAGGAATTTGGGCTCGTCCCTTGCCAGTCAAGGCTCTTGAGGACTCCCTAGGCAAGCCTAGGTTTGCCCAGGTTTGCCCAGGTGCTCCTGGGGAACACCTGGGGAACACCTGGGTAAACCTGGGCAAACCTAGGCTTGCCCTGGGTTTGCCTAGGATACCCTAGGGAATCCTCACGAGCCTTGACTGGCAAGGGACAAGCCCAAATTCCTAGGATGCCATAGGATTCATAGGTCACCTAGTTTGCTTTAGGCCACTCTGGGGTCACCTAGGCAAAAACGGCTTTTCCTGATGTTGTCCTGGAGGTATTTGGTAATATCATTACGAAAAGCATATTGTGCCAAATCAAGATGAATACTCTCTGTGGCACATATCGACTGGTTACAGCTATGGAAAGATTTTCTCTTACATGAGCAAGATGTTTGAAAACATTCATTGACTCATTACATACATCCATCCCATCCAGCACAATGTATACTGGGCTTAAGTCTTTCGAAACTAGTGCTAAAGTGGCACTTAGTTCTGCTATGGTAGGCTCCATAAGGCCCCCTGTACATTTTGTATACAGCTCATGAAGGGCAGGATGAACTCCTCCACTCCTTGTACCCATTTGGAGCAAAAGGGACTGAAGGAGGCCACGAGTATTGGTCTTAGTCTGTGAGTTATCACGATTGTCAAAATAGTAGTAGCAGCACTGTAATGCTGCATTGGCCTTGAGTTTCTGAATAATAGCCGCCCTAAAAAAAATCACATGAGAAATAACATCATACCAATGTTGCATGCATACGAAAGGAATGTTTTGCCTGAGCCCACTAGATATACTATGATTAGATCCTAAATCACTGTACAAATCAGATGCATTACCTTTACCCTGAATCTATAAGACTCTAGATGTAGCCTGTTTCCATTTAACAAACTGAGGATGGGAGAATATCCACTCTCCAGTTCCAGGGGTTCTCTTATCACATGCTGCTACAAAATTTTTAGAGGGATTAGTGTTGGAAATATTATCAGCTGTGCAATTGATTTGCTCGCCGATATTTCTCCAGTAGTTTTAGATGTTTATTCTGCCCCGGAGTGCATGCTGGTGTGGAGCTTATCTGTCTTATGTTTTATCTTATATTTCTCCATATATTTCTCCATATATTTCTCCGTAGCTGCAGCTTATTTAAACCACCGTTCAATATTATTTTCCCCTGCGTGTTTACTAGGGCTTCTCTGCTATAGACCAGAGTGAAGTGATCTTTCGGCGACTTCTTCATTTTACTCCAACAATTAGGTGCTTTTAACCATTTCCGAACATTTGACAGATCATTGATCTCTTCAATGGAAATGTTACTCGAGGATATGAAGAAGAGACTTTAAGATTACACCCACTCCAGGTATGATAGTTATTGTGGATGGTAGTTGCTGCTTGAAATTGCGGGTTGACCAAGGTAAAGTTGGAAGCACCGGTAAAACATGCTACCAGAAGTTTTAAGCTAGATTTATTGAATTAGCCAAGTCATAGTTACCCGCCCAGCCTCTCTGCGCCAGCCTGAGGGTTGTTTTGCTCCTCTCTGATCATGTTGATTAGCACTGGACTGATGACTGTGAGGTGATCTCAAATTCTTACCTGGAATCTCTGCACAAAGGTTCAGACATGGTACGAGGTCACAGACAGCAGTTTCGAAAATCACATGTGGGCTGTGCGTGCACCAGCACGAAGTTACCGAAGGTTACAATTGCTGACGTCCTCAAAGTGTCAGATTATTCGGCTACTCTAACTCTGACTCCTGAGTCATGCCTGCTAGTTTTCTTTCTTTATTCTTTTCTTACCGACTCGAAGACCTGAATGAATGTTCGGAGCCTGAGTATCATTGTTCTGCCATCAGGAGTGAGGCCAAGGTGACCAAGAATTTGGTCAATAAGTTCATGGACACATGCACGGTATGTGTGTAGCATCAGCAATTTCTCCACAATCGTGATCGGTATGATTGGCATGTATACATTCAATTCACACCTGATTATACAAATTTCAGAAGGTATGAGGTATGTATGGACCCCAAGTGCATAATAGAAATGCCTCATTATAGATCATTATACCTGCGGGTCAGATTGCTATTACTCTTTAGTAATTCAGTTCTTGGTCTTCTGAGGCATTGCACAATACCAGTGACAAATCATGGCAGAAATTGGGTGGGCCCCTCGTTCCTTGTCCTTTGTCCAGCTCTTAGTTTCTACACTTGGCATCCTCATTGTACACCCAATACACATAACACAAACGGTAAACCTCACTCAATTAACCTAACACCTACCATTAATTTATTGCAACTTTTGAATTCTGGTTGGTTGCGATAGTGTCCTCTTGTTCTAACCCAAAAATCTCAAACAACGTTCTGGATCACTTGCTGCAAGCACCTTGATTCTCAAATTTGTTGTTGTGTTTTTATCCTTGGACAAGTGGGTGAAAGGGCCCAGCAATCGGGACCTTGCGAGGGTCATTGAGGGTACGACGGTGTTTCAGTGGCACCAAGCTAGTGTTGGAATCAAGTATTCCACGTGACAGCTGGGTTCAACTCCCAGCCAGGGAGCTGCTTGCAGGGTCTGTTAGTCACTCTTTTTGACCCATCCCATCTGGCCTTTTTCTCATTTCCTTTCTAAGTTATCTCTTGCTTTTTTTTGCGAGTATGTGCAGCGGGATCCCTCATTGAACTTTGGTTTCATTAGTAGTAGATCCAAGTCTCAAATTCCCCAAATATAACTATCTCCCTGGTAGTATATTGGTTAGTACACGCGCCTGTATGCCCTTGTCCTAATCACTTGTCCTAATCCCATGTCCCGCGCGAAAAGCTGGGTTCAACTCCCAGCCAGGGAGCTGTGTAGCAGTGAGTTTGTGTTGAGCTACTTTCCAACTATTTTTGATCATCCCACTGACTGCCTTACTCTGTGGTACTTTTTCATCGACTTGGTCAATTGAGATTTACCCACATATATATCATACATACATACCCACTGGCCAATCCAGATTCCAGAAGAAACCTGATGGCCCTCCGATAACCTTCACTAGCTCCAAGCTCCAAACCCGTGCAGCGCAAATGCCAAACGGGTCCCTCTCTTCCAGCGTGCAATAAGGCATACTACTTCAAATTGTGGCAAATATAACTATCTCCCTGGTAGTATATCTGTTGGAACTAAGAGACACATTAGTACGTAGTACAACTAAGCTCAGCCAGAAGTGATGAAGGCTAAATCATATTACCATACCTAAGAGACACGTTAGTACGTAGTACAACTAAAGCTATAGGTATAGTGTGAGCATAGATGGCATAAAGCATAAGTATAACAGACATACCTCAGCCAGAAGTGATGAAGGCTGATGAAAAGAAGGGAACGTTGATAGGTACAGTATAAGTAGAAATCCGTATCAATGAAATAAAAGTTAAAACAAATGATAAGAACTCGGGTCTGATATCTACTCGGTATTGGAGCTGTACATAGCGGCGGCCATATACCGCGGACTGAATATCCAACACTCCCCCTCAACGAGAATGCATTGGGACAAGTCCCAGTAGTCAAGTTGCCTGTCGATGAGTTTCACCATCAAGAGCTTTGGTGAATATGTCGGCGACATTATCCCTAGAAGCAACAACAACAGCTGTCTGAATATCACCGCAATGAACCGCTTCACGAATCCAGTGGTGGTGAATTTTGATATGTTTGTTTGCATTAGTGACTTGGTTGGAATTAATGTTCTTCAAAGCCGAAGATGAATCAACAAACATCTGAGTTGGTTCAGGTTGAGTGAAGTCGAGTTCCTGGAGAAGGGAGCGGAACCAAACAACTTCCCTACCACAAGATCCAGCTGCATAATATTCGGCTTCACTGGTGGAAGTTGCAACAGCAGTCTGTTTCCTCGTATACCAGGAAAAACAACCTGTACCGAAAGTGAGGGCGGCGCCAGACACCGAACAACCATGTTCAAGGTGATCAACAAAGTTGGAGTCGGTATAGGCAAAGAAAAGGAGTGACTTGCCACCAAGGACGAGGACAAAGTCAACAGTCCCCTTCAAATAGCGAATAATCTGTTTCACTGCTTTCCAGTGGATATGACTGGGATTATGCATGAACTGCGCTACTTGTTGGGTGCTGCAAGTAATGTCCGGGCGCGTTCGAGTGGAGGCGTGCATGAGAGAACCAACACCTTCAGCGTAGGGCACCAAGCGCATCTCTCTCTGTTCAGGAGAATCATCAGAAGGACAATCAGCTTTGGACAATACCGTCTTTTCCATGGGTGTTCCAATGGGGTGAGCATCATCAAGTCGGAAACGCGAAATGAGAGACAAGATGTAGGAACATTGGGAAAAGGAAATGGTTCGAGCAGATCTATCACGAGTAACAGTCATACCCAAAAATTGAGAGATCTCCCCCTTATCCGAGATATTGAAATGAGTATGGAACTCATCCTTGAATTGAATAATCTGTAGAATGGAGGAACCAAAGAGAGCTAGATCATCAACGTGAGTTGCAATGATGATTATTCCATTGGAAGAACGACGAAAGAAGACACAAGGATTGGAAATGCAAACCTGAAAGCCAGGTTCAACCAAAACACTTTTTAGTTTCTCATACCAGAGAAAACCAGACTGCTTAAGTTCATAGAGTGCCTTGTTAAGCTTCCAAACCCACGAATCCTTTCCTCTGACTGCAAATCCAGGCGGTTGCTTCACATACGTTGGCTGGTCATCAGGGATGGTGCTATTAAGATAAGCAGATTTCACATCAATGACATGAATTTCCCAATCCTGGATGGCCGCTATGGTTGCAATACCACGAATGGATTCAATACAAGCAGTCGGAGCGTGGATATTGACAAAGTCAATACCCGGAATTTGGGTAAAACCCTGAGCTACAAGTTGAGCTCGGTAGACCTCAATGGCCTGAGTGTCGGCATTGCGCTTGATAGCGAAGACCCAGCATGTACCAATGGCCTTACAGTCAGGAGGTGGTGGAACAAGAGAGTAAGTCCCAGTCTCCAAGAGCTGGTTAAGCTCGTAATGACAAGCGGCTTCCCACTCTGCATGATCGGGAGAGTTGAGAGCCTGCGAAACATTGAATGGAATTTCACCACTCAAGATATGAGCCAGTTCGGGCATCTCCCCCTCATCCCCGCTATCATCCATATCAAGCTCAACATGCGGAGGAATATCCTCATCAATCTGTGGCTGAACTTCTGCTCTCGCACAAGAGCAAGTCTTAGCAGGTGTAGCATCAGAAGGCATGCAGGGATTAGGACGAGGGGCACGAGGAGGAGGAGTAGCAGGAGGAACAGGAACAGGAGGGTCAGGTGGGAGAGCGTATGGAGCGGTTATAGGGGAAAACTCATCGTCATCTTTATAAGTAGGATTTTTGAGAGACGAATAATCATAGGACTCCCCTGCGGCGCTCAAAAGTCCATCTCCATTAGTGTTGTCATCAAACTTCACAAAGATTGCTGAATGTACACCTTTACCTGGCGTGTACACATAGTACGCCACCCAAGTCTCGTCGAAACCTAGAAAAATACCAGGAGTACCACGAGCGTCAAGTTTATGCTCCTGTGAGTTGTCGTATACCCAAACTTTACATCCAAAAGAATGCAATTTTCGATGGTCAGGGTGCTTCTTGTACCAGAGATGATAGGGTGTCTCCCCTTTAGGTAGAGGACTAGCATAAGTCCGGGCACAGATATTAAGAATGTACCAGACAGTGTAGCCCCACATAGAGAGAGGAAGTTGAGAGTGAATAAGGATAGTGCATACCCGGTCAAAAATTGTACGATTGAGGCGCTCAGAACGGCCGTTCTGTTCAGGAGTGTAAGGAGTGGACTTTTCCCAGTGGATACCGTGCTCCTTCATCCAATCGCGCCACTCGTTGGCTATATATTCCCCACCATTGTCAGTGCGGAAAACCTTCAACTTTTTGCCGGTTACCTTCTCTACTTCAACTAACCACTGCTTAAAAGCAGTAAAAGCATCACTCTTGCGGCGAAGCAAGTAACCCCAAGCCATACAGGAGCAATCATTAAGAAACTTGATGAGATACCCCATGCTGGTCGTGGTCAAGACCGGAGCTGGTCCCCAAAGATCTGAGTGAACTAGGCCCAGTGGCTCTGAAGCTCTAGAGTTCAATTCAGGAAAGCGCGCACGGGTGAGCTTTCCCTGCGCACAGGCGTCACAGACAGGGGGTTCTGCAGCCAATTCTGAGGCCATAAGTTTCATGGTCATCCCCTCAAGCGTACCCAAACGGTACAAGTTACGACAAGCGGGATAGTTCAAATGCCCAAGCTTGTTATGAAGCTGAACCAGTTTGGAGTAAAGCAGAGGTTTGTCCGAGGTGGAAGATGTAAACGCAGAGGTGGAGGGAGCAGAGTCAAGGTGATAAAGTCGAGAATCGTCCTTTGTTCCAGTGAAAACAACATCCTCCTCATCAATAAGGCGCTGGATAAAAGTACCAGCATCATCCTTACTGAATGTTACACATTTCCCTGCGCCGAAGACAGTATAACACTTAGCTTCGTCGAGTCAGGAAACAGAAATGAGGGTAGGAGAGGAGTCAGGAATGAAAACAGTGTCCTTCAGATTGAGACGGACAAGTTGACGATGGCGACAACGCGCAAGAAAAACGGCTATACCTCGACCTGCAATCTTCATAGTACCATGACCAAATCCAGTAACCTTCTGAGAAATGGCTGGATGGTGGAAAGACGTGAAGTCGGCACAAACAGAATGAATGTGAGATGTAGTACCAGAGTCGATAATGATGGGAGGCCTATCGGCAGTAGTACCAGCTGGATACACTGACTCAGACATAGGCTGGGAGGAATTCACATTTGTAGAAGTCTCGGTCACCAGGTAAGCAGAGAAATCGATAATATTGGCGCCCGAAGAAGATTCTATGAAATGTGATGAGGTAGACTGCTCAGTTTCACCTCCTCCCCCACTATCCACATGGTGGGCTTTCTCTTTGCCCTTCTTCTTATTTTTCCTCTTTCTGTTACCTCCCTTAGCCTCCATAATGTTTCCCACCACCGGGCTTACGGCAAAAATCCTTGGTGTGACCGGGAGTGTGGCAGTTGACACAATAATAATCTCCACGGGCCGCATAGGAGCGTTCAAGCACAGCGACGGCGGCTTCTATGTTCGACATGCCGGAATTAGAGTTCTTGTTGGGATGAGCCGAACGGTAAGAACCTAAGATCTGTTGGACAGTCGACTCAAGAGTAGTGCTGGAGGTGAGAGAGAAACTGCGGATCCAGGTGTGCCAAGGCCCGGTCGCACCTTCCTCATTGGGGAGAGTAGTGACAAGAATAGCAGAGGCAAACCCTTCCTCCACAACGTACCCAGCTTTCCGGATATCCTGCAGAGCAGATTCAAAACCCTGAAGATGGGCAGACAAAGAATCAAAGCTATGCTGGAGCGGAAGTCGGCGGGTGAGTTGGGAGAAGAACGTCATGATGAGACCAGAACCCTGAGGACCATAAGTACCCGAAAGTCATTTATAGGCGGCGGCGCTTGTAAGACCTTCTACCATGCTGACCATGCTCTCAGAGATACACTGGAGAAGCATGTTCATCATATAAGAATCCATCCGTTGCCAGATAAGATACTTAGTGTTGGTATCGGGAGGACAAACAAGCGCGCCCGACAAAATAGACTGACATCCTACTGTGCAAGCACCAGTGAGGAAGACGGCAGACCAAGACGAAAAATTTGTTTCACCTTTGAGCTTAGTGTCACGAGGGAAGAGCGAATTTCCACCACTAGGGATGGTCCAATCACTCGGAATAGTCGGCGCGGTCATAGTGGTCTGTGTACTCGAAGTAGTCTGAGTAGGTTGGGTAGTAGGAGCGGAAGGGGTAGTAGACATCGATAGAGATGAGGGTTATGCGGGAAGAGAAGATAAAAGATTCGATTCCGGTAATCACTATAAGGCTGGCTGTATCAGGCGGACTCGGGGCCCATAACCTGTTGGAACTAAGAGACACGTTAGTACGTAGTACAACTAAGCTATAGGTATAGTGTGATCATAGATGGCATAAAGCATAAGTATAACAACATACCTCAGCCAGAAGTGATGAAGGCTGAGGAAAAGAAGGGAACGTCGATATGTACAGTATAAGTAGAAATCCGTATCAATGAAATAAAAGTTAAAACAAATGATAAGAACTCGGGTCTGATATCTACTCGGTATTGGAGCTGTACATACCGGCGGCCATATACTGCGGACCAAATATCCAACAATATCGGCTAGTACACGCGCCTGTCATAATCTCGTTTAGAGAACTCTTACCGCACGAAAGCTGGGTTCGACTCCCAGCCAGCGAGCTATTAAGTCAGTTTCCAACTATTATTTTTGACCATGCCCCACTGCCTGGCTTACTCTGTGCCACTTTTTCATCGACTTGGTCTATTAAGCATACATACATACCCACTGGCCAATCCAGATTCCAAAAGACCTTTGATGGCCCTCCGATAGCCTTCACTAGCTCCAAGCTCCAAACTGTGTAACCGTGTATGCCACACGGGTCCCGCTCTTGTGTGCTAAAACATGTCTACTACATGCTTACTCGATGCATACTAGTTCAAATTGCTCCAAAGATAACTAACTCCCTGGTAGTATATCGGCTAGTACACGCGCCTGTCATACGTGGTGAATTTCGGGGATTCCACCGTGCGCGAAAGCTGGGTTCGACTCCCAGCCAGGGAGCTGTTTGGCCTGTGGAATTTAACCCTTTTTTATTTATTTTTATTTATTTTTATTTTTTTTTTTACACTGGCCAGATCCAAGAGCAACCCAGAACCCTCCAAGGGAATCCTCATGGTCTCCCCGATTGTCTTCCTTCACCACTAACTATCTCCAAGCACCTTGCAAGTTCCGGCTATATAACTAGTCTAGGGGGGGAGAAGAAAGGAGAAAAAGCAACTGGAACCAAGGCTTCAAAGCTTCAAAGCTTCAACCCCATATCTGAAGTTCTAGTTAACCCAGTAACGACTCAAGTACTCATCACTAGGTCCACTTGAAACTTTTGATACCTTTGAAACCTTTGAAACCTTTGAAACCCCCCCCCCCCCAGGATAGCGCCACACAGGAGAGTGAGGCTAAGCAAGCTGAGCAAGCCCACAACAATCTGTGGGTATCTGTAGTTATCTGTAGTACTTTTCTCTCGGAGCAAAACAATCTCATAACCGCATGAAGGTAAAACACAACAGTAAACGCAACCTGAGGGAACCCAAAGCGCAAAAAAAAAAAAAAAAGATTCATTCGATTTGATTAATACAAAGTTTGTTTCCTACAAGTACCTTATACTTATACTATTGCGTTAACAAAAAAAAAACGGAAAAGCAAGACTAGACTAGACAAACAGGACTAGACAAAGCGAACAAGAGGATCCATGCACGACATACGATAACCACCACACTCCGCGCTCATACGCTCATACGCTCATATCCCATAATCGAAATCCACGACATTAGCCTCCCGATCAACACCCAGAATCACGTCGTGGTAGCGGAAGAACCACTCTGCCATATGCACATGAGAATCTTTGATTGACATTTAATTATGTGCCACCTGTCATTGATATCTATTGTTACTAACAATAAATAATTGTAAAATCTCTGGACTTGTTGTGACAAGTCAATAATTATTAAAAGCGTGTTGGGTTCAGAAAACAGGCTCTAATGTCTAAATAAATTGTCAGTAGCATCAGTGGATGCAGATATTGGCACTTGTTAATACTGGAGTAAACATGACTTGTACACAAAAGTACATAAATGAAATTCAGGACAAATTATCTACCCAAGGGAAGAAAGAAAATGGAAGGAAAAATTATGAGACAAGAATCTGGCACTTTGTCCAGGGCAGAGGGGCAAGGATTGTGCAGGGAAACAAAATCACTAGAGAACTTACTCCCTGGAATACCTGACAATGCTACAGATATAAGCTTGTAAGATTGCCGTATCTATTCATGCCTTCCACCTGAATCAACTTACCTGAAACCAATTGTATTGGTCTCCTGGTCAGTCTGTGAAGCATCAGCAGTGACGTCCGAGGGATTCAAACTGTTAGAGATCTGCTGTGATTGTAATTGTTGACTCAGTGTGGGGACCTCTTCAAGGTGGAAACTTTGCTCATATGTGTTCTTGGTTTGAACCAAGATGAAGATAGCAACAGGATTCAAGCCCTGCAGGTGCAGCAAGATCAGTATTAAGTAAGCCTAAATAACAGGTAGGTCCTCACAGCAGCCATTGCATAAACTTGGTTTATGGATATTGCGGCAAATAACAAGTGTTCATCAATATGCCCTATATTTGTCTCCAATTCATCCAATATCAAGACAAGGAGCTACAAGATTTGACTCAGCAGAATGACCTTACATGTGGTAGAATATGTACCTGCAAAAGTGCAAAAATTGCCCCAGACTCTACAAGAAGAAGAAGAATTTCTTCTACTTTGCTCCGTTTCCTCCTAATTAAAATTGATCTCATAGATTTATGATGTGTCCTGCAATATCAATAGCAATAAAGACATAAGGGTCAAACACAAGACACTACTCACCAAGCACGAAAAGCTATTAAACATGTTGCCACCATATTCACAGATAATGACAGCACAAAAGTGACCCCATCAAGAATTTGACTCTGGGACAGGTCTTGATGATCATAACCAATGTCTGTGGCAACAGCATCAGCCAAGCTAACACCTGGTGTTGGAGCTGCATAAGATTTTGTGAACAGGGATCTATATATCAATGTCACCTATATCTGCGAACATCAACACAAACAAAGTCCATTTCACTTTCTTGTTATCCATCCACACTGCCCAAGCTCTCCACGCAATAACACCATCAGCGATCAATCCCTTGGCACCAGATTTAGGTCATTTAGTACCTCCGTATAAGGTTCACCAAACTCACTATAATATTTTGTAGCCAGTTTTGCATTTTTGCATAGACCAGAATTTGTGATTGCATAGTTGATGCTGCTATTTGCTCCCTAATACCTCCGGGTAGAGATAGTACCAGGTAATGCTTAACAAGGTCAAACAACAATCCCACATTTGACACAAAGACCATCAACATCAGAACAAATGTGCCAAAGAGTACAGAAAACATTGCTTTCTTTGCAACCCCGGTATTTTTGTCTCTCCTGCAGAATCAACATACTCAAATAAATATCTTTTCAGGATGTGAAGGTGTGAGGACTCACAAGTAAATGTACAAACTGATGCAGAATGTCAAACAGTATATCCCTAAAAAGTATATTGAGCATAATTCACCTCACTATCAGTCATCAGCAAAACGTGGGTGCACGGGAAGCCGCTTTCCGGCACTGTACAGTGCTGGGGGCCGCTGGGAGCCGCTGGAAACGGCTGTAGAGTGCCTGACAACGGCGCCAGCTCACCCACGTTTTGCTGATGGTGTATTAGGCCAATGCACCAATAAAAACGGAGCTGAGCACAATTATTAGGCCAACATCCTGCATAATCATAAGTCCAATTGCTGATGTATCAGCCACTTCTTCTGGAGTCATGACCTTGGCAAGAAGGGGTTCAGTAGCTGGAATTTCTTGGTAGAACAATTTGGGAATGATGGTTATATAGTGGCAGGAGCATGATAACCTCTCAATGTAACAATCAGACAAATATCAAGTACAGCAAACACCCTATGGCAGCTCAGTTGGTATCTATGACCTTTTGGTATCTTCAGACACAGGAAAGTTCTCATCCCCATGATACACATACATTCTGATTTGCAAGTTGCAACTAAGGCTCAGTCTAGTGCTGTTGGACTCAACTAAGTACTGTACTTACTGAATCTTCTATTTGTCAATTGAGGCTATCAAGCACAAATGATATATGATGCAGGTTTCATTTTTTTGGGTCCTCAATTGAAATATTTCAGGCGCAGTGGCAAGCTTCACAGCAAATATGCTGGAACTGACATCAGGAAAAGTACGTCTCAACTCAAGGCCGCTAAATGCAACTTTCAGTGACTTAAGTGCACTGCCTCTTGGTGCCCCTCAGCCCTAGAGTGAACTCACTGGCTCAATCAAAGGTTAGTGTGGCAGTCTACTAAGCGTCACGACTCAGGTGTGCTCCGACAACTATTGCCTATACCCTAGGAGGCACGGAGAAGCTTCAGGTCAAGGAGGGAAATATTGGATAAAGGATAAATAGTAAAATCAAACAAGCAATGAGATGAAACATAAGGAATAATGAACACCTGATTCGGGAACACTAGATTTTTGTACGGCCTAGCAGATTGGGCCGACGTAAGGGTAGGTGTAACGCGTCCCCTGGATATAATCTTGGACAGAGGGGAGTGCGGGATGGCTCGAACGATGTAAGTGTGTCATTGTGTCCAGAAGGCAGCTAGGTCCTATTTTTTCTGAGGATTGAATAAATTACCTATACTCAACTCTGACATTAGTCAGAATAATTGTCTTAATTCTTGGCACTCTAAATGATTGTTTGCTCAAAGGCAATCCAAATGACTGTCTTCAATAGGAGACAATCTCACTTATTGTCTAACAGTGAAAATAGCCATTGGGTCCAGCCTCCAGGGCAAAACAGCAACCGGAATCTTCATATCTAACTAAGGATCCACAAAAACTTCCAGTGACTCACACCTATGCCTGTGCCATCTTCAAACTTGCAATTACTTCAAACTGGGGAAAGCTGCTGTATACATAACTCCCTGGTAGTATATCAGTTAATACATGCGCCTGTCATATGTTGGAATCAAGAACTTATTCCGTGCAAAAGCTGGGTTCGACTGCCAGCCAGGGAGCTAGCCCATTAACTCTGAATCTTGATCTCTACTATTTTTGAACCTCCCACCTGGATTTCTTCCCATTGACCTACCAAGTTAAGCATCTCTTGCTTTTCTTTTGGGAGTATGCAGATCCAAAATTCCAAATCCTGATAGCCCTCATTTGACTTCAGCTTCATTAGTCAACTCTTGTGTTGCACATTAACAGTGAAAATGGCTAACTGGTCCAGGCGTAAAAGTAACCCAAACCTTCAACCCATCTGAATCTGTAACCCAGCAGTGAATTGGAATTGCCTGTAGGCCCCCCAGGATAGCGCCCAAGAAAATTTGCTGAAGCTATCTCCTCAAGGGATAATAGCCTTGGTGCCTCTCTTCAAACATGCCATAAGCCGTACTAGTTTAAATTGCCCATAAATAACTATCTCCCTGGTAGTATATCGGTTAGTACACGCGCCTGTCATGTCCAGTCCAATCATTGTCAATTCATTGATATCCGCGCGAAAGCTGGGTTCAACTCCCAGCCAGGGAGCTGGTATGATAACGCCTTTCTGGAATCTGTAATATCATTTTTGGCCATCTCACTGACTGGCTTACTCTGTGGTACTTTTTCATCGACTTGGTCTATTGAGCATACATACATACCCACTGGCCAATCCAGATTCCAGATTCAATAAGAAACCTCATGGCCCTCTGATAGGTAGCCTTCACTAGCCCCAAGCTTCAAACCCGTGAATGCCAAAGGGTCCCTCCCTTAAAATGTGCGATAAGCCATACTACTTTGGATTGCTCCAAAGATAACTATCTCCCTGGTAGTATATCGGCTAGTACACGCGCCTGTCATGTGATGAGCAATCAAGGTTTAAATCCCTTTATACCCGCGCGAAAGCTGGGTTCGACTCCCAGCCAGGGAGGTGTTTGGCCTGTGGAATTTAACCCTTTTTTTTATTTATTTTTATTTATTTTTTTACACTGGCCAGATCCAAGAGCAACCCAGAACCCTCCAAGGGAATCCTCATGGTCTCCCCGATTGTCTTCCTTCACCACTAACTATCTCCAAGCACCTTGCAAGTTCCGGCTATATAACTAGTCTAGGGGGGAGAAAGAAAGGAGAAAAAGCAACTGGAACCAAGGCTTCAAAGCTTCAAAGCTTCAACCCATATCTGAAGTTCTAGTTAACCCAGTAACGACTCAAGTACTCATCACCTGTAGGCCTAGGTCCAGAGCAAAACAATCTCATCACCGCACGAAGGTAAAAACACAACAGTAAACGCAAAACGCAAAACGCAAAACGCGACCTGAGGGAACCCAAAGCGCCAAAAAAAAGAAAAAGAAAAAAAAAAAAAAAAAAAAAGATTCATTCGATTTGATTCAATTAATACAAAGTTTGTTTCCTACAAGTACCTTATACTTATACTATTGCGTTAACAAAAAAAAAAACGGAAAAGCAAGACAAGACTAGACAAACAGGACTAGACAAAGCGAACAAGAGGATCCATGCATGACATACGATAACCACCACACTCCGCATACGCTCATACGCTCATACGCCCATACGCCCATACGTCCCATACCCCCATACGCCCCATACGCCCCATACGCCCCATACGCCCATACGCCCCATACGCTCATATCCCATAATCGAAATCCACGACAGCCCCCGGCGGCGGGCCGACCCACACGCCCCAGCCTATAATCTCGAAGAGCCGCGGGGTGAGCTCGATGGAGAGGATGGCGATCCCGGTGTAGACGATGACTTTTGTCAGGACTGTGGGGGGGGGAGGGGAGGTTAGAAAAGGGACGAAACAAAGAAACGAAAGAAAAGCAAGATAGCAAGAACGAAAGGCAAGGAAGGAAGGAAAGGAAGCAAGAAAGACAAGGAAGGAAGGGACGGAATGAAAGAACGAACGAACGAAAGGAAACGAAAAGGAACGAAAGGCAAGGAAAGAATGAAAGGAGAAAGCAAGAGAAAGCAAAGAACATAAAAGAAGAAAGACGCTCACCATCCGCATCATAATGCCTATGCTGCCTCACCCCGCTTCCCTCATGCTGCTTCTCCTCCGGAATCACAACCGTCAGCTTCTCCTTCTCCTCCTCCCCATTCCCGTCCTCATTCACGCCCTGGTTCCCGTTCCCGTTCCCGTTCGCGCTCGCGCTCTCCCCTGCCACGATTGCTTTTTCTCTTTCTGTTTCGATTTGTTGACCCCCGTCCGACTCGTCAACCGCATATCCTCCAGGTGTTCCCTCCCCGCCCGCTCCCAGCACCAACCCCGCGATCCTCCACGCCCATCCTCAACGAACTGGGTAGATCGATAACCGATGGAATGGGTCTCATGACTCTTCCTTCTTCTTCATCTTCGCTTCCCTCATATCCATTCCCATTCCCATACCGGTATCCATACACCCCATCCTCTCCCCTCCCCTCCAAGCCATCCCCTTCCGCGCCCTCCGCGCCTCCGCCACCTTCAAGGCACCACCCGCCCTCCCTCCAACCCACCCGCACCCGCTCTCCTAACACTCGGCGACAGCAAATTCGGCACGCCCCCCCTATACTCCGTCGCCGGCAAATAAAACCGCCTATTCGGCATCCCCAACCACCCAATCCACCGCCCCTCTCGCCCCTCCCCACCCCATCTCGCCCAGCCCCAATCCAACGCGGCTTTCACCCGCCCAGGGCACGCGCGACGGCGCGGAATATCGGCGGGAGCGTGATACCGAGGAGGAATTTGGCGGAGAGGCGCCAGGTGAAGATGAGGGTTATGCCGAGGGTGAGTTTGAGGAGGGCGATGGTTAGGAGGAGGAGGAGGGATGGGAAGGGGATGGAGGGGAATAGGGAGAAGTAGGAGAAGTAGGAGGAGGAGGAGGAAGGGGAAGGGGAAGAAGGGGGGTAAGGGACCCAGGTTCCGGAAGGGAGGACGTGCCAGGGCGCGCCGAGCATGGGCGTGGCAGGGACAAACGTCGACGTCGCCGTCGCCATCGCCATAACCTCCCTCAACGGCGTCCCCTGCAGCTGCGCGAAATACACCCTCCCCATATCCCTACTAAACTCCCATATACGACGGCGCCCATCGCGACGGCGTCTTCGAAGCACGGGCAGTCGTCTATGGGCTGCGGGTGCTGGTTTATGATGAGGAGGAATATCGATGTGAGGAGAAATGGTGGTGACAGCGGTGATTGGAGGAGCTTCGCTGCGAAGGTCGTCGGATAGAGGCGCTTGCAACGCACTCGACGACCCACGCCTGCAGTTTATTCGACGCGCCAAAGCCACGTACAGTCCATCCCAACGAATCCCATACACGCCAAACCGCACGGCACATCCGTCACGACCACCACACCACAGCACCCAACACGCATCCCGCGACACAATCCATCACCGAATGCATCGCTGTGTATATCCGTCCTAGCACAATAGATAATGTGTATATGACGAGAACGGTTGTGAGGAAATAATATGTTAGCGGGGTCGCTGTTGGGTTGAGGGAGGGGTGGTAGAGGTTGTAGACGTAGCCGTAGAAGAAGAGGGCGATGGAGACGGCATTGGTTGAGTGCGTGGAGGGGAAGCCGTATTCGAGGTGGTGGTTTCCTAGGGCTGATGAGGAGAGTTAGTGTCAAGCGATACAAAGAACGCGTCGGAATGAATGCAAATCCGAGAAATGAGACAAGACATGGCAAGAACAGAATACGCAAGAAAGAAAGCCGAGAGATGAGACAAAGACAAAGAACAGGCAAGTCCGCCGCCAGTTCTTGTACATAACAGAACTCGGCAAACTCGCATCGTGGTCTGGCTCGTGAAAAAAGATAAAAAGATGCGGGAAGGAAGGAATTGTTACTCGGCGAGAAGAACCGGACCAGAGTAAATGGAAATACACAGAACGGACAACACGTTCAGTTGCAGTGAGAGTAAGAGACGTAGTGAAATGAAAAGGAATTGTAGAGAGAATATCAGAAATAACACAACGAGGAGGAGACGTATACATTCGACTCATTGAAACCGAAAACAACGAGGCCAAAGGCTTTTCTATATATAAGCGCAACAAAGGAACGAAAAACCAAAGAATTTGAAAAACCAACTCACTCAACCTCGTAACCGGCGGCGCAAACGGCCGTGGACTACACACCAAATCCTTCACAAAACTCGACGCATAAACGCCCAAGCCCATAATCATCACCAGCCCCATCCCCATCTCCTTATTCCCGCCCAAGCCCGCCTCGCCCCCAACGTCAAACCCAAAGAAAAACACCGCCGGCAGCAGAATCATAAAGAACGTATGCGTCCCCAGACTCGACGTGTACACAAAGTATTTGTCCAGAATGGACTGCGCCATCGGCGTTGCAGCGCCGCGATGAAGTGCGACTCGAGGTGGATGTACGGGATGAGGAATCTGTGCAGGTTTTGGCGGAGCGCGGTTGCGGGACTCGAGAAGAATGAGGAATACGAGTGCGTGCTGGAGCTATCCGAGAATTCGTCTTCGGATCCAGACATTTTTGATTTCAGCTTCCTAGTTTCTGTCTGGCTTCTGGTAAGAAAAGAAAAAGGTTTCACCAAGAAATTACTCACACCACACTTGGTTATGTACCCCAAAAAAAGCTTTCCTTCCGTTCCTTTCCTATGTCTACCCTCGTCGCAAAGGCACCGAGGCTCAAAGAAGGCACAGCAAAAATTATTGCAAATTACGCCCCCAAATTTCGTTCCTTGTTCCTCGTACGACTGGAGATAACGAAAAACCAAAAAAGAGATGGGCGTCTAATCATCCAAACCGGCCGAACTTTCGGCACAGCGCACACTTACGTCACGCGTGAATTATGCAAGTCCCCTCGTTACGACGTTATTTCACTGGTTGCGACTCCCTAGCTCCCCTTATGCATATGGTTATGGTTCGTGGCCCCTCAAAATTGCGAGCTGTGGACACCGCGATGGCTGTGCTTTTTGGAGCTTGGGTATGTTTTGGATTAACTGGGCTTGGTAAGGTGCACCACCGCCCCGCGTGGGCGTGGTACGAAGTACGCGCCGTTCCTGGTCACACTGTTAAGTCTTGTCCCTTGCTTTACAAGGCACCCGTATTTCCGTATTTCCGTATTACTACGACTATATTATATCCTATTATTTCCCGCTCTTCTCGAATTCCATCTCCACCGTCAACGCTTCAGCTCTCCGTCACTCTCCGACTCCGACTCACTCCGAGTTTCCCATCGCCTCCCATCGCCTTTCATCGCCTCATTCGCTCTACCATTTGATTTCTATTCGCATCTTTTCGCAACTGACTCTCTGCAGCGCCTCTGAGGGTGAACGATTGAGCAGTGTTATTTAATACACTGCCCCTTTATCGCTCAAAAATCAAAATGACAAAATGACAAAGCCTTTAGCTTGGCTATGCTGACAAGTACCTACTTACTAAGATACACTACTACTCAGACTATGCGCTAGTACGCAGTTGTTCCTAATTTTATTATAATTTCCAACCTACTTACTAAACCACGGCCGCCTCTCTAAAGAGTCCGCAGTCTGAATCTACCTTCCCTTATGGGTCAAACTCGCTCTCTCTTCCTCGCAGTCTAGCTGGTCTCATGCGCAACCTCGCTGTACAATCCATAGAAACTGGTACCCTCTGATTCGTCATTCACAAGCAGTGACTAGTGACAAGCGGCTCCGATGCGATTATCACCGACGTATAACCACATAATTCTATCTAACCTTCATCTCGATAAAGCAGTCCCTCTTGTTATCCCTTTTGGTACCCCTTTTCTATCCTTCCCACCCGTACTACTGCGCTTCGTATCACGAGTACGCCCGCACAACGGCAAAGCAGAGGTCGCAGATGAAACTAATACCCGCGATGCCTTCACATGTACAAGTTGTCCATTTTGGACTCATCTCTTTCTTATACTTTTTCGCATCAGTCACATCGGGATCTCC